GCGTATCGATACTAGGTTGGTCGAACGGTTACGTAGGCAAAAGTACCCCGAACACCTACTTAGTTTTGGGGTGCGTTCAATGCACTATCGAAGGATTGGAGGGGACCTGATCTTAACCTACTGTATTTTAATTGTGAAGGTTGGCTTGGATTTCTTTTGGCTATTTAGTCCTACCAGATTATCTGGTCTCCGCGGGCATTGCATGAAGTTGAACAAACCGCGGTCCGATGGAATTAGAGCGGAGACACAGTTATCATGTGCTGGAACTCGTTTCCAGAAAATATCAAGTAATCTACAGTTCGGCCCGTAGCCTAGAGGTAACTAGTCTGTCCCATAATCTTGCGACGCGAGTTCGCGTCCTCGTAGGGGTGGGCGTCCTCTTAAACGAGTGTCTGCTTTTTTAGAGGGGAGAGAACTGTGTGCGTGTGGGGAAAGCTGTTATTGGCGTTTCGCAAGACTCGGTTTGAGGGTCGTTGCTTCTCGTAATTTATATCAGGGACTTTCCCCAAGTGCTTGAGGTAGCACCGCTACTGTTTGCTGATGACAACCTATGGAATATTCTGGATATCCCTGGGGGTTTTGAGGCATTTCAGAGTACCCTGGATAGGCTCTGAGATTGATCAGTCTTGTGTTTGATGTTATACATCAGGCAAAATGTTTTGTTCTCCGCATTGGAACTGCTAGTCCCCTAACGAGTTGCGTTGTTGGTGGAAGTGAAATCCTTATTGTCACTCAACAGATTGACCTGGTTGTCGTCCGCATTTCAGTCCTTCACTCTAGTAACTCTTGAAAGAAGGCTGTTTGTAAATGGTTTCGTACGATGTGGTTTATTTGCCGTTCTTTCGGAGTCTTAACTGGCGATTTGTTTGTGAAGCTTTTCTCAGCTTTTGTGAGACCCCATTTGGAATGCTATTCAGTCTTCCCCACGGAACTGGAGAGGGTTTCGCGAGTTGGTAGTTAGTTAAGGGTTTACGGGAACAACGTGTCCGAAACCTTTGCTTGGCTTCGGAATGTACTCAGTGCTACACTACCGGAGAATTAGTGGTGACTTAATCCTCATCGTATTTTAACGTATTGTCTTTACAACAGTTTGAAGAATAGACAGGGAGCCAGTGAAAAATGTGGGAATTAGCGAACAGTAGTTGGGGTCGCCACATCATCATCATTATGACATATTAGCTGAAGGTGAGAAAAACACTTCAACTGTTGTGCTGTACGATAAAATACGGCCACTTTTCCCCTTTTTCTCAACATTTAAACATCTGAATCTAAACAAGCATGTGCACAGATCCTTCAAGGTATTCTATTGCGTGCCGTTTCCTGAATTGTTTCCGACCATCGGCACTACTCCTCCTTTGATTCCCAACCAGGCAGACCTGTGGATTCAACCGTTACTGGACGTGAATTCAGCGATTTCATGTGCTGTCGTCAGGGAGGCGGCTTACCACCGCGTGATCTTTTCCAGCCAAGTTTTGTACGAGCGAACAGGGCGCGTTGTGGCAAACGCTCAGCTGACATACGCGGAACGTGGCCAAGCCATCTTAACTGATGTAGCAAAATCAGCTTGTTGAAGGGAATACTCTCGTTCCCTAATACACGACGCCTGACTTCACCGTTGCAGGTGCCTTGTTGCGACTACACACGAGCAATTCTCTTGAAGCACCCATTACCGAAGGCCGAGAGCAGGCGCATGATATCTAAGCGAACTGGCCATGTCTCACTGCCATGTAGCAACACCGCCCGAACAGTGACATTGTAAACACGACACTATACCAAGAGGGAGTCATCCAGACGGCGCTACAAGTGTTTCAGGCTGGCAAACGCCGACCGATCTTCGGCGATGTGGAAGAAAACCTTCTCAATAGTGCCACCAACACACACGCAGCTGCCCAGATGGACAAAGCTGTCCACGTGTTCAAGCTGTGATCCTTTAACGGTGAGCACGGGGACGGGCGGTTACCGATCCCGGAGCAACTATGCTTCGACGGGGCGAGGCACATTCTTTACCTATGTGCCTCAATCGCCAAACGGTTCAGAGTGGTTTGCATTCTCTGCGAGTCATCACAAAGTAAGACGATGTCATTGACATAATCTAACTCGGGCGCCGCAGACTAACCTTCCAGAGCTTTCAACAGGGCGTCTTCAGTCGCAAAATTTAAGAGACACGAAGACATAGGGAAACCCCGTCGTGCACTACTATTGACGGCGAAGGACAAAGAAAGTTTGCCATAGGCCCTCACTCTGCCGGCGACGTAGGTAGAGTGCTCTTCGCACGGCAGTATACTTCTTTGTGACCTCGTTCCCTAGCAAGCAACGCCATAGCTCAGGTCGATCAACCGGGTCTAGTGCAGCACGGCTGTCTAGGAAGGCAACGATGTTTGTCCTTTGATAGAGGTGGCAGTGTTCGTGGATTTGGCGGAGCGTGAATATTTATTCCACCTACTCACGGCCAGGACGGAAACCAGCTTGTTCTTCCCTGTACTGCGATTCACGAATCGGGGATAGTCTACGGAGTAGAATGGAGGCCAATAGCTTGGAGCCAACTGAAATGATACTAATCTCCCGGTGATTGGTGCATGAAGTGCGAGCATCCTCCCGGAAAATCGGGACAACTGATTCACCTTAGGAAGAAGACACATTTTCTTCAATCCAGCTTTGGGCGAGTAATGACGTTAGCTGGCTGATAATAATTGCGCCGCCATAGTTAAACGGCTCCCAAGGGAGTCCGTCTGTGTCGGCATTCTTGAATCGTTTCAAGTATCGAATCGCAAGGCAAACTTCCGCTTTGTTGGTTGTATCAGGTATGACGACCCAGCGCAAGCAGCTGGGTTTGCATGGCATACAAGTGGATAGGGAGGGCCAATTGAACTTAGAATAAAAATCTTCTGCCCATCCATCTAAGTGTCTGTAAGTTTACAATCGGCGAGCCACCCGCTTCGCAGTCTCACTGACATTAGGCTTCCTATGGCTAATTGATAGAATGAGCTGGAAGGGCTTGCGAGTATTGCCAGAAATGGCAGCGGCCTTCATTGTGATCAGCCTTCACTGGAATATTTATGCAGCAGTTAGACATAGCCAGGGAGCGATGAACGATCTATGCTTTTGTCAGTGGGCGTGATACTACCCGGTTACCCAAGCCGAAGTAGGGAAACCACCCCGAGCCTTTGACTAGATAGTCTGCCCGCAAGGCAGCGGGGCGAATTCATTGAATCGCGCTCATTGGGAGCTGGTGACTTATTGCTCAGTTCATACGCCTTTCGTTTAGTCGGTTACCAAACAAGTGCCCAATCCTCCTCATGATATCAGCGCACTTGCTTGTATACAATGCTCTACCGATGTGAAGCAAGGGGCAGAAACTTTATTTGGTGGCGAGCCACATCCGCCGCGTCGCAGTGTTCTTAAAGAGGCATTTGCGGCCTTCTGTAGAAAAAACACTTGCCAGGCGAAAACTCACCACCTCCTGGATTACTGCCGTTGAACACTTCGCTGGAACGGGGGAATCCGAACCACCCAGCTGGCACCGTGAGAATGTAGTTCGGCATGCCAATGTAGTATTCTAACGGGTAAGAGCGGTTCAGGGCTGGCTTGCCGAACAACCTCCTCGTGGTGCCAGCTGGGTGGTTCGGGATTTTCCCGTTCCAGCAAATGGTTCGGCGGCAGTGTTCCAGGACGTGTTGAGTTTTCGCCTGGCGAGCGTTCTCCCTATAAAAAGCCACATATGTCCGTTTAACAACACTGTGACGTGGCGGACGTGACTCGCCACTAAATAAAGTCACTGCCCCTCGCTTCATCCTGGCGAAGCATTGTATTCCAGCAAGTTTATGCTGTAATTTTGGGGAGCATTGGGCCCCTGTTTGACAAAGGAACAAACGAAAGGCGTATGAACTGGGCAATCAGTCACCGGCTCCCAATGGGCGCGATTCCCTGAATTCATTCCGCTGCCTTGCGGGCAGGCTATTCAGCCAAAGGCTCGGGGTGGTGTCCCCTTCGGCTTGGGCAACAGGGTAGTATCTCGCCCTCTGACGAAACCATGGATTTTGATGTGTTGTGTTGTGTTTTCTTTTACTATTTCTGTACCTTGTTTTGAGTTCCATGGTTTCCGATGGCACAATGTCTATTCATAGACTGTCGCAATATATATATATATATATATATATATATATATATATATATATATATATATATATATATATATATATATATATATATATATATATATATATCAGATCGGTTCAGACTTGTCCTGGTAAGTTGTCTAGTCTTCCCGCTCACCCGTTAATTTTACACAAAATGCGTTCTGACCGAGGTAGGACGGAAGCTCGTTTGTCACTCCAAGTTATTGAACGTTGGAACTCGCTTCCGCATCACATCGTTAGAGAATCTATGCTTAATGGTTTTGAGCTTCAGTTAGATGCTCTTGGGGGTCGGTACCAAACTTTCGCCTTCTAATGGACTTGTATCTTCAGCTTCTGTTCTTTTTTCCCAGTTCCTTTACTGCTTTAGTATTACCATTATTTAGTTGATATTACTCCCCTTGCTTTTTTAATCTCCTGTTCACCCTACTATTTCACGTAACTGACCCGGCAGGAGCTGTTGGGCAAGATATGTTGGCAGTACCTGGTTGGCCGTGGTGTGACACGGTTTTTGTTTTAGGTTTCTCAAAATCACAAACTGACCTATCACTTTCTGGTTCGACGATGCGCAAAAGGAGCATCCGCGGGATTATCCTATTGTTCCGGCCCAAAGTGAACTTGAGCGCCCGCCGTTCTTCACAGCCTCTTTCACCCTTGTTTATGATAGTCAATCTGGTTGACATTATTAGAGCCCAATCTATTTTGTTACCTTTTATTTCCTTATTATGTGGTCAATTCAACTACATGCGCTATCAGTCGATAACTTGTACCGTTTCTTTTTTTAGTGACCAGTCTTCATCATCCCAATTATTTTTTCCCGCTGAAATCTTATGAGAAGTTTGCTCATTTGCAATTGGTGCTCTTTCGATGTCTTTCCACGAAGCTGTTGACCGTGGTAAGTCTTTCTCGATATCTCCTGATTTCATACTAGTCTTTATATTACATTTACTGATGATGATAACCTATATAAATTCAATAGAGTCTGATCATACAGTTGATCTCGTTTCGGGACGTGGCGACCTGTACATCTTGCAAATTAAAGCAATGCGGGAAATCTGCACCATCGGGTTTCTCTAATTATGTGTTTCAAGCTAACCATCGAAGTTTAGTTCTACAGGAATACAACACGACTTCTCACCTTTTATTTATTTTTCCTTTGCCTCTGTGTCGTTATCTCTAAGAAATGGTACAGATTTGGCTTCCTGTACTGATTGCGTGGTGCACAATTGGTGTTTTCCCCACTACTGGGTATTGCCATCAAAAATCAATGTTCTCTGAAATTTTACTGTAATAAATTATTGTGGGATGCTTATTGTCCACTTCAGTTTGCCATTAACAGGGGCTTTGTGACTTCTTTACTCTAACTAGTTACGTTGGTTAACAGCCTGTATTCTGATCGAAAGCGTTATCAGTAGCAGCTGTATTCCTGTCGTTTGCACTGGGTGAGCAATGTGTGGTGCTGCGCCGTGCATAGACTTTAACACAAAATGCGCTACACACAAACGGCATTCTGCAGGACTAGGATAGGTCAGTGATTGAGCCTCAGTCGCTGCTTTGTCTTTGCTTGAGGTTACGGAATTAGCACCTTCGGACATGTGCTGTTGATAGAGTTAATATAATTCGCACTCTTCTGGGTCGATAATCGCTGGTGAGTCGTAAGTGTTAATTTGGAAAGCACAACCCTCTTCGATGGTTTAGACAGCACACTTATGAACAGCTTTTTGTCCTGGTGTAAAACAGGACATATTTTGCAGTCAAGTGGAATAGCGTCAGCGTAAACTCAGCTGGTATAGTTGGTGGTCTGAGCGTTCGCTGAGCTCGGCAGTTTGGTTGATATAGTCTTGATACTAGTGTAAGCCCTCTTTTGTACTTCTCGGACTTTACAAAACCCCACCCCTTACTGGCGCCTGCGATAACTTCTTGCATTTGACCGCCATGGTTGATTCAGTTTTGCAAAGTGGCTCAACAATGTTCTATTATTTCTTCAGTGTTGCTGTGGACTAACAGAACAATGGTCTGATCGTGTACCAGGGTCGTTCAGTTTGAAATGAACACCGCACGTCCGTGCTCGAAACAGTATTACAGCGCTATGACCACACCTAAACTAATTTCTGTCTTTTGTCAGTTTGTTTGTTGGCGTTGATACCTGCCCCTTTCCAGTTCGAGGGCCATGAAAATGCCGCCTCCGTGGTTAGACAACTTGCTCGACCTAAACCACCCATGGTCGATGGCGCTTCTGCATGTGGTCATTTATTTCTTGTTGCTAAACGTTTTTCTTTGAAAATTGTCCTTTTTGTTTCTCTTGATACCTTTTCCTTGGAGATTTTCCTCATTTGTTCCCGTTTGTGTCGTTCGCTTTTACTTTTACCATCTTGCTGGTGCGGGTTGGTGCGACTTGATCCCCGCGCGTCATTTATTTTATTATATTTGAATACTTAGGCTGAACTGACCGTTTCGTTTCGAACGTCAGCCTACATCTATATCTGACCATGGCCGCAAGGGCGATATATGGTACTTTCGATTGTATACTCTTGTTGCTTCAAGTCCATCAAAAGCACACATGACCTGTCGCACCTAGCTGCGCTTTTGTGCTCTATCTGCAGTTTACGGCTTTTTTAACTTTAATGTCTGTCACAATTTTCAACAACCTCCGTATACACGTATCATCATCGCCATTCTACGTTAGCTGAAGGTGAGAAGCAACTCAGTTATTGTGCCACAATACCAAAAGACAACTTATATGAAAGTGAACCGAGATACGAAGCATTGTAGGATACAAAATCAGAATCAAAAAGCTAGTAATCTTATATTTCGGGAATGATAGATTGATTGGAGCAGGGAGATAAGCGAGATGGGGAGGGAGAAAGAAGCCCACAACGCAAACGCCATTGAGGTCGGTTCTTCGCCATGTCAACTGCTGTGTCCAAACAAACGTGTTCATGTCGGGAAACACCAACGCCATGTTTGAAGTGAGGGACTTCCTCTTGACTAATTCATCACTCGGCTTCCCCTCTTCTTCCATCCAGACCCTGGTCGTGCAGCCACACATGTCTTAGGACTCAGTGTGCTGGCCTGCGCAATACATGTCCCAAGCATTGGAGCTTCGTGCTTGATATAACCGTGCTGAGGGGTTCACTCACTCTACCTGCACCAAATGCGCGACGCCGAATACGCTCTTTGCTCACGTGATGTTCTCACCAAACATAGGTGAATTGAGAAGGCAGCGATAGTCGAATGTAGCAAGTCTCTTTATGTCTCTTGATCTGATGGTATACGTTTCACAACCGCACAGCAGAGTTGAGCAGACTGCTGCCGATTTCGGTCACCAAAATACCATCCTACGGTTCATTTTGATTGGCTTATGGTGAAAACTTCACATGTTGTCTATGCCGTTGGTCCGTCATCATTACTGTCTCTTCGTTTGACTATGGAGCTTACAAGACTTGGCTGGCGACCTGTATTTTGATGTGTTTTTTATCGTTTTCTGCCCGAATTATTTGTTCTATGTATCTAGTTCTGCTTTATCTTCTGTATAATGTGGTCAATCAGTGTAAGGTTTCTACTTTGTAGTCCGAAAACCACCGGTTCTAATCTGCGTAGTTACGGGAGACGTCGCAGTATCCATAGCCCGCGTGCGACTAGTGGTGGTCTTGTTGCTGCGAAGCTCCCTTAGTTTATACCTTTTATGGCATTGTGTTGTTTATGATGACAAGCAGTGGTAGCTACAAGTAGGATATCTTGCCGAGCCTGCCTCACTTTCAGCGGGCTACCAACTCTGTGGCCGTACGTTTTTGAGATATTGCAAGCCTCTTGATAGTAAGCGTTTGCTTACCACGCGTAGACTTCGTTTCATGTTCTTTCTTCTTATTGTTTCTCTTTGGTAGGTTACTTATAGTTGCGTGACATCGAATCATCAGTGAAAGTGGCTTGTTGCTGCTGCTGCTGATGGTGATTATAATATTGGTATTGTATGTCAGTATAGGGATGATAGCAATGGCGATCTTTATGGGGATGAGTATTTTCTCCTTTTCTTTGTTTGTGATAACGACATCATTGATACTGAACAGATCTGGATAACAAATTCTTCTGAGGCAGTTGGATGTCAAATGTTGTCCGCCCGAAAACACTGCACACCACAACTAGTTTCCAAATTATTGGTATCACCAGGTAGAGATTGCAGGTATCGAACTCGGGGCGTTTGAAATGTCAACCGAAACTTGTACCCCTTTAGCCACTGAGTAGTGACAGGTAACGCTTGTCACAACGTTTAATGACTAATGGCAGGGGTCATTTTGAAGCACTCGTTGTGGGATTGGGTTGTGATGCGCATTCTCAATGTACATCATGATTCGCATTGAATCGAATCTTGGTCGATTCGATCAATAGAACCGTAACTGAAGCAGATAGAGATTAGATGTTATCCGTCGAAAACATTGCACTCCTATGGTGCATTTTGATGTTATTTCATCACATCAGGTAGAGATAGCAGGTCTCGAACCAGAGACCATTGGGATGTTAGTTGTGACCGCTGCTCCTAAGCCACCGGGTCACGACAAGCAACGATTGGCACAACGGTTAATGATTGTTATTAAGGGTCATCTTGAAGTACATGTTGTGTGGATGGATTGCGACACGCAATCGATTGTTACCGATTGTCGCACCGATTTCGAACGTTTGGAATATTCCTGCACATAACTAGCAACCTCCTGAAGATAAGCAAACACTATGTGGAGCAACTAACTTTGGCAGTTGATCTTCCTATTCCAGAAGTCGAAGGCGGTAAGAGACCTATAAATACAGCTAAGATCCGCTGCATTTGTACAATGTTTTGTTGACGGCGCTTAACACGTTATTTTGTCAAGGTCATTGGCGTTCTGCTTTTTCCTTCCTTTGAGCTAGAAGTTTTGTGGAGCGGTAAAGTGCCTATTTCGAAATCGCGTCAAGTGGGAAGATTATAACTAATGGCTACGGCGAAAATTAAAAATGTGATGCATTTTTCTGCTGAACATTTTCAAAAGCTGCTTTTCCAACAGTAATCTCAAATGGAGGCACAAATAAAAACGATCGAACATTTAACACAGTCCCTGAGTCTGCAATCAGCAGGAGCAGCGACGTGAGACATGCTGTCGAATTCCTTTGATCTTCTCACAAATGCAATCACTGAGTTCAGTGATGTTGCGGACTCTAGATGCACATTCGTAGCGGGGTTCAAGCGCTGGGAAGACATGTTCCGGACGGACTTCATTCTTCAGGACGACTCCTGGAAGGTGCGATTTCTACTCCTCAAGCTCGGCACAAGTGTATATTCATGGTTCATAGACCACATTTTGCCCAAACAGCCGAAGGATCTGATGTTTGACGAAGCAGTGTCGCAGCTGAATGGAGTTTTTGGTGAGTCAGTATTCTTGCTTAGTATTCGTTATCAATGCCTGCAGATTCTCAAACTGGAATCGGACGATTTTGGGGCCCTAGCAGACATGACTAGCCGTGAGTGTGAGCGTTTCCGGCTACGTCCTTTAACGAACGATCCGTTTCAGTGTCTCATTTTAGTCATCGCTCTACAGTCCTTCAGTGCTTCTGCGATCCTCACGCGGCTTTTAGCTAAGCTGGATCAGGATCGTGATCTGACACTGAACGTCCTCGTAAGCGAATGCAAACGGCTACTCACTCTGAAACCCGAAATTGCCCTAATCGGGCAGAATGGTCTCACACCGCCCAATACCGTGCACTCTGTGAAAAAGGCTAGGACTATCAGCTCAAGCAAACCATTCAAGAGGTCTACTAACAAACCGCCCACAGCATGCTGGTCATGCGGCTAATGGCATTTCGCACGCTTTTGCCCATTCAAACGTCATATTTGTGAAATGCGCCATAAGAATTTTAGTAAGGATGGTGCAGACTCTCTGTCCATAGTTGCCGCCTTCTAAAGTGAGTGTAAACCGAGACAACGATTCATCAGCGTTTTGGTTAATGGCATCCCAACGAAACTGAAATTCGACATGACTTCGGACATTATGATTATTTCCAGGAACAAATGGAATCACATTAGTCGGTCAAAGATGGTCAAGTCTCACAAACTTGCTCACAGTGCATCCGGTGATGTTCTACTTTTGGTGGGCGAGATTACTTGCAAGATAATCCTCAGATGTGTGGAAGACTCGGGAACGTGCTACATTTTAGACCGGTTGAATTTGAATCTTCTTGGTATCGACTGGATTGAAAGATTACAGCTCCTCGCTGTTCCTTTTAATCAGATCTGCAATCGAGTCGGAGCCAGTCCGGATCCATCATCAAAGTCCGTCCAAGACATGACACATTCGCTGAGGCACAAATTTACCTCTGTCTTTCAGGACAGCTTGGGCCATTGTACGAAATTCAAGGCAACGCTGATCCTGCGACCTGGAACAAAACCAGTTTTTAAAGCTAAAAGACCGGTATCCTATGCAGCTATGTCAACCCTTGATCAAGAACTCGATGCACTGGAACGAGCTGGAGTCATCACAGTCGTCAACTACTCATCATGGGCCGCACCTATTGTCGCAGTAAAGAAGGCAAATGGCAAGGTGCGTGTCTGCGCTGATTTCTCAACTGGACTTAACGCCGCGCTGGACGACCGCCAGTACCTAGTACCCGTACCGGAAGATATCTTTGCAAAACTGAATGATGGTGAGTGCTTTGCTGAGCTTAATCTGTCCGATGCCTACCTTCAAGTGGATGTTGCCGAAGACTCGAGGGAGCTGTTGACGATCACTCATCGTTTGCTATTCTCATACGACTGCTTGCCCTTTGGTATGAAAACGGCGCCAGCCATTTTCCAACAGTTGATGGATTCAATGATCACGGGCGTTTCTGGAGCCACTGTATCGCTGGATGATATCATAGTAATGGGTCGAACACCGGAAGAGCTGTTTAATCGGTTGGATTAAGTGCTTGCTTGAATACAGTCGTACAGTTTCCGAATCCGTGAGGACAAATACACATTTTTCACGCCGATCATCCATTATCTTGGCTTTATCCTTGAAAGGGATAGACGTCGAACATATGCGGCAAACGTAGAATCCATTAGGAAAATGCCTCCACCAACAGACCTACAGTCCTTGCATTCTTTTTGTGAGCTCACCAGCCACTACAGCGCATTCTTGCCTGAGATGCACCGCCTGCGTACTCCGCTAAACAAGCTACTAGCCAATGGTCAAACTTGGAACTAACTGGACCTCAGAATGCCTTCGAACGGGTCAAGGCATTGCTGTCCTCGAACTTGCTTTTGACCCATTTTGCTCCCTGCAAAGCGATTGTCCTATCTACAGATGCATCAAGCCATGGGATTGGTGCAATAATTTCACACACGTACTCCGATGAATCTCAGAAAGTAATCGCCCATACTGCGAGGACATTTACGAAGATCGAGAGAAATTACAGTCAGATCGGGAAAGAAGCATTGGCCATAGTGTTCGCGGTCAAGAAATTTCACAAAATGCAGTACGGCTGCCGCTTCAAGCTTCTGACAGATCACAAGCCCTTGCTATCTTTAGTTCGAAAAATAGCATCCCGGCCTACCAGGCAACTGGCTACAATGTTGGGCTCTTACCTTAATGGGGTCTGAGCTCTTCAGAAGCTCAGCTGGGTGGTAAGTATGGACTTAACTCCGAACGGACTGACAACGGCGAGCGTCTGCTGCAACTGTGTGCGGAGCACCAGTTGTTTCTTACCAGCACTGCTTTTAGACACAGTGGGCGCCGAAGTGCCACTTGGCGTCCACCTGTAGCTGGCAGCGATGGACCAAAATTGACCACATAGCCATAAGTTACAGGTGGCGCGGTTCCATTCTGGATTGCCGCTCGTACTGGAGTACCTGTGTCGACTCTGACCATGCCTTGGTGCGCTGTCGTTTCTCCATGAACTTTTACCGGAAGGCGCACAAGCGTCTCCCCGATTGGCAACGGAGAAATTGTCCAGCCCTCTGTCAGGCAAGCCTATCAAGAAGCATTGCATAGCGAACTCTCGCTGTCTTGTCCTAATGATACTGAACTTCAGTGGAATAAGATCTCGGCCACTATGCACGACGCAGGAGCATCTGCTTGTGGCACTATCAGTCGTCTCATGTTTTAGGTGATTTTGCGAAAGTAAAACTGCTTCTTTCATCGGACAAATCTCTCGTGAACTCCGTAAATGAGGTGCACAACTTAATTCTCACTAACCCCTTTGTTCGTAGCAGTCAATGACTCCATTGCATCTGGCCTGCTTCCGTGGTCATACGGATGTGGCGGAGTTTTTGTTGAGAAATGGTGCTGATGTCAACATGCAAGATAAAAGACAAGGGTATACCGCATTGATGTTTGCTGCGATCGCTGGTTGTTATTTATCTTTCATACTAACTTTACAGGAAATATGAGTCTGACTGAGCTTTTACTCAGGAGTGGCGCACGCAGCAACTATGTAAACAAGGTCGGAAGGACAGCCGCACAAATGGCTTCTTTCGTTGGTGAGCTCTTTTTTGTATTCCTACTCGCTAACAGTCTATCAGGCAACTCTGGTGTTGCTGCCCTAATAAACAATTTTCTTGAGAAGGAAGAGGTTTTAGCATACACTCTTCTTTCAGCCCCAGCCAACCTCATCATCACTCACAATGTTGCTGATTCACTTTATCGCTTGATCCTTGACATCAATATTACACCTGTCAAAGTGAGTATCTTCATTCATCCTTGTTTTCGATAATTTTATGCAATAAACGCGACATAACACTATATTCCCATTATTCTCTAACCGGCACCGCGGTTGGCTTATTGAAATCGCTGCATTCGGCAAATGGCCTCCCCGCCCTTGTTTTCCGAATGGGGTCCAACAACCTATATGCTAATTAGCTCCTTATTTTTCGGTTTCTTTTATGTTTACGTTGTTGTTCATTTCTAAGTCGCTAGCTAGTGAATAATGACTTAGAAGCAGGGAGATCGTCATAATCCCCCAACACTTTATCTGTTTGAACGACAATGGCTTGATCACACTTGTTCAATACCTGCTTAGGTATGTAGTTTTCTTACTTTGTGTCTATTTAGATCAAGTTGGTGTCGACGTAAAGAAACGTAGGCATCCTTTGTTTAAAAGAATCTTAGGAGAAAAAGCTTTCCGCAGCTGTAACCTAGCTGGTGCGTCATGTATCGTTCCAGAACCAGTGGAATTAAGACCTGAACGTGCGAATAGCGGAACTGTTGCCAACCATGAGGGTGTACCGGGTTATGAACTCACACACAGCTGATACATCAGGATGCTTTTCCTGCCGCGATTTGGTACATTCAGAACCGAAACGAGTTTTACTGACACCACCTCCGAGGATTTGCCGCATCTAATGCCGGTGCACTGGATTCAGTCAAAAGTGATTTGTAACCTTGAGAAAGCTTGACTGAATCACGGGGAATGCTGATCCTCAGCAATCCAAAAATTCCCATTTATTAGAATAAACCGTGGGAGGCAGAATCTGAGTAAAGAATTCTTTTCGGTAATTCTTGTCAGACTCAAACATTGCATGATGACGAGAAAGTGCTAAATATGCCGGATGGGGCTGCGTATTGAACAGACTGCTTAAGTTCAACAGGAACAAATCAATAAATCACGGGGTCATTGAAAGTGGCAAGTATGTACAGGGGAAATCACAGCCGAAGTTGTAGGCCACGGTAGAAGTAAAGGACGTACAAACTGTTTTTGTACGCACAATTCTGGTTTGAGGTGGCGGATGTAGATAGCTTCCGCAATAGACAGAAGATGCTTCCGGAATCCGCGCGTGAAACGTTCAGGAACAGTATAGATGACTCTAAAATCATTTTCCATCCCTGCGTGACTGCACTCTAGAAGGTGAGACAAGATGGAACTGTTACTGGACCTCGCTTCGCCTTTGTAAAACCACTTTGGGATGTGTTCGCGGATCCTATGAGATAGGCGCCTCGTGGTACGACCCACGTATCGTGCACCACAGGAGCACGAGTAAAGATAAACAAGCATTGATCGAGTCACCGGAGGCAGCCTGTCTTTCAAAGGTTTTGCGAGTAAAGGCTTGTTGTAAAATACTATGCGTAGGCGAGCCGCGAAATAGGTCTTTTCAACAGTGTCTTTCAGGCGTTTGGACAGGGTATCAGCCGCACTGTCGCCTTTGAAAGGAATATGCATAATTAGTTCGTTTTTGGGTACGTTCATCCTCAGTTGTTTTATCTTGCGTACTTTCAAATGTTTGAGGATGAACTTATCTGGATACCCATTCGCTCTTAGCGCGTCGCCGATCCTCTGCAATTCTTTGGTGATTGTGTCCGGTGTGCAAATACTATGTGCTCGGAACGCAAGAGTGCGGACTAGATTTCGTTGGTACTGTATGGGTACCGCACTACAGAAGTTGATGTACTGTCCAGTCCAAGTTGGTTTTCTATACACCGCTCTGCTGCCCGATCCATCGGCGTTTCTGATGATATCAACGTCCAGGAACGGTAGTCGGTTTCTGGCTTCGTGCTCACATGTGAATTGTAGATTCTGATGCGCAACATTAAAAGTTTCCAACAGTTTCACAGTGTGCGCTTTCGATTTGCAGAGTATAAATGTGTCGTCTACATAACATATGTACATCTCGACTTCGTTGATGTGCGTTCTTCAATTTTGCTATAAAGACATCTGTTAGAAATGGTCTCATTGGTGAGCCCATGGCAACTCCATCAATTGGACGATACGTCTCCCCGTTGAAGATGAACTGCACGTTTAAGGTGCATCTGAATGACAATTCTTTCAGGAGGTTTTCCGGGATATTTATATGTACATTCAGTTGCTGTACTAGTTGGTAAACATGTTCCACTGTTTCAAACAACGAATATTCGTATTCATTTGATGCGCAGTCGTTGTTTATCCAAAAAAGAACTAATTGTGCATATTCCTTTCAAAGGCGACAGTGCGGCTGATGCCCTGTCCAAACGCCTGAAAGACACTGTTGAAAAGACCTATTTCGAGGCTCGTCTACGCATAGTGTTTTACTACAAGCCTTTATTCGCAAAACCTTTGAAAGACAGGCTGCCTCCGGTGACTCGATCAATGCTTGTTTATCTTTACTCGTGCTCCTATGGTGCACGATACGTGGGTCGTACCACGAGGCGCCTATCTCATGGGATCCGCGAACACATCCCAAAGTGGTTTTACAAAGGCGAAGCGAGGTCCAGTAACAGTTCCATCTTGTTTCACCTTCTAGAGTGCAGTCACGCAGGGATGGAAAATGATTTTAGAGTCATCTATACTGTTCCTGAACGTTTCGCGAGCGGATTCCGGAAGCATCTTATGTCTATTGCGGAAGCTATCTACATCCGCCACCTCAAACCAGAATTGTGCGTACAAAAACAGTTTGTACGCCCTTTACTTCTACCGTGGCCTATAACTTCGGCTGTGATTTCCCCTGCACATACTTGCCACTTTCAAGGACCCCGTGATTTATTGATTTGTTCCTGTTGAACTTAAGCATTCTGTTCAATACGCAGCCCAATCCGGCACATTTAGCACTTTCTCGTCATCATGTAATTTTTGAGTCTGACGAGAATTACCGAAAAGAATTCTTTATTCAGATTCTGCCTCCCATGACTTATTCTAACCTTGAGAACACCATTAGCGTGAATAAACTCTAGTTGTGCGATTTTCCAAGCACTAATGCGATCCTCATCTAGAGTCCAATTCTTTTCGGCCCTTACTATTTCGATTCCCATGAAGTTTGATGCGCCACATTGAGATAACGCCTCCATGATGTTCACGCCGTAGCCCTCTTTAAAGGTGGGAATGCCAGTGAACTGCCACTAGCTCGTAGTTACATGCAGGATTTAGCATCCGCATAAAGTTTTTACTTTACACCGACGCTTCGCTGCCACACGACTACTGGTAGTGGCTTGCAGACTACGAATACTTCGAGGTCATTCGGACACAAGTATAGAGCTGAACCTGTCATCAATAGTTTACAGGACAGGCGGCGGAGCCACTCAGCTGCTCGCTCACTCACTCACAAGACGAATTCTTCCACTTTGTGTTAGAAGCGTTGTTCAGTACTTCTGACAGATAGGCATGATTTATTCCCTTGGTGATAACAGGTTTAAAGCAGTTTGTTCCCCTCAAAAATTGGAAGAGCACGGTGAGAAGACGAAGATCGGCGGATGCATGCATTTCGTATAGTCTCTTTAGTGTCGAAAACGATAACTGCAAGTGGAATACAACTCAAATGATTCAAACGTGCAAACAAACGAAAGGAAAAATTCGGAATCACGTCGTTATGTCCAAGGCAACCAGAGGCTGACCGATAGTTGCTTTTGAACACAAAGTTCCTGTTTGATCCGGTTTATCGCAACAGCCTCAGCGAAGCGGAGACGGAAATTAGTATGCTGCAGCAGAACTTTGAACGACTTGCTGACCTCGATCCGGTGACGTGGGATCAATAAATACCTGCTGATCGAGGATGACGGCGGCCTGTGTGAATGCGTAGCCCGAGGTGGGCATGCCTGTTGAGCTGGCTCGTGTTGGAGCCAAATCAGAACATGCTCCTTCCTCCGGGTACTCAAGGTTCTATCGGTTCTGCCTAGGTAACTTGCTCATCAGTTACATACGAATTGTTACACACAATGGGGTTGGCTCCTATAGGCTGAGCTCCCTTCAGCGGAGGCAGTGGCAACTTGGGGGTTCGGTCGCTGATGTATACTTTGGCAGCCCCGAAGGCGATCTGCGTGACTGCGATTAGTCGTTTCGTAGTCTTCATTGTGGCAATATCACCCTTAAAGTAGAGCTCTAGGAATATGTTCTTTTTACGCACGGTGGGCACTGACTCTAGTTCGGCTGATTTGACTATGCTTTTCCATGAACCTACGAAGGTAGCCATTTGCATTTAGCGTGTAAATAATCAGTTCCAGTCCCTCGGTCGGGCAATCGGTCGAACATATTCATCTGGTACGATTAGCTAAGGTTTTCATCAGCGTCCGTTTGTACCGCATTAGTATAAAGCTGGTAAAATGCAGGTACTGGTCAGACCACGTGGCTTTTCTGTAGACGGCCCTTTTAACCTGTCCGTTTTCTCTGCGGCTGATGAGGACATCCAAATAAGGGAAGCAGTTCTGCCGCTCAACTTCACAAAAGACCCTCAAGTTTTTATGCGCAGCATTTAGAAGCGTCACCAGCTGTGTGATCTGCTGTTCAGATGAACAAAACGCTAGGATGTCACCCACATATCGTTTCTAAATGGCGAAGAATGCCTGGATTTATATCAGGGAGTCTTCACGAAGAAAAACATTGAAACCGAGTTAATCTGCTATCCGTACATTAGCTGCGTGTGTATGACTTTATTAGGAAGCACTTAGAAGTGTCTCCCTCTGTAGTTTTTCGGGTCACTAATGTACGCTCACCATTGCACCACCTGAAACTCTTTTATCATAGTGATTATGAGTGCAAACCGTTTTGTGTATGTTGGGCCTATCGTTGCAAGAATAGTTCATGTTTATTGTCAAGTGGAATGAAGTTCCTTACTTCGAACTTGGCGTCGATTGGTGTCTCCCGACTGTCAGGCTGAGGTCCCAAGGACGATAAACACATTCGATTGGATAGACTAGTTGACATGACGAAGAGCCGACTTCAGTGGCGTTTGTATTGTGAGTTTCTTTATCCCCCTATATCTCTTATCTTCCTCTCCAACAACGATCTCACACTGCATGGATTATATTATACGGCATTATATTACTTGCTTATTAGCTTTTGTATTCTGTAATGTTTATCATTTCGCTCGTATTTTGTATTCCGGCACAGTTAGCTGTAATGTGTTTTTTGCCTTCAGCTAATATGTGGTGATGAAGTAGGTTCAGAAGAGCTTGAAAACGAATAAACCTGTCAGTATATTTGGTTGTTTCCAAGTTCTTCTGAAGTCGCAATTTTTCAATCTTTTTCACGCATATTCCAGAATGTTTTACCGCAATTGCTTTAGTCTTACAGGTTATCTGTTACACACGATGGACGATAAGTTTTCTCAATGAAGGCGATTTGTGGACTTTTCATTTTCCAACGTTTCACTCTAAATTCCTCGTCTATCGTACACAAGCGATCACCATAGCTCCAACGGGAACGAGTTGTTACCTTTGTGTTTGGCATCATTGTCCAAGCGGGCGCTTAAAATGGATCTCGATAGCTTGCTAGTCGCTCTTTCAGGCGGCCTGCAAAAACTAGACTGCATCAGGCCCTGACGTTCATACTCTCACATCACCGGCTTATTTTTATTTGTACCGTGAGTACTGACTCATTGCCTTTGCTCTTGCCTACCATAGTGTAAATTTTGCTTGGTGATTTAATGTGTCTGCACATTGTCTTTCTAGATACTGTTGCGACTCAACACTCACACTATGGAAGACTCTGAGGAAATTCAAGGTTCGCAACGGGAGACTTTGCTCAGCTCATGGCACCATGGAGTAAACGTGTTGGAAGATCTCCTCGAGAAATACTTTACTCCACATCAAACTCACGAGGCTTTGGCCCTTAAGTTTCATCTTATTGCGTGCTGTTTGCGTAGGGCCGGAGAATACATTGAAAAGCAGGGTCAACATCCTCTTGACTCCTGTAAGGAATCTATGGATGATTCCCGAAGACAGGTTGCCTCCAAATCTAAACTTATGGGACTAATCAGAGAGTTCCTCAGAGGTGGTGATCCACATGGCCTTCCTGTCGGACAGGAACAATTCCTGCGCCAAACGCTGACTTCTTTTCCTCACCGGGAGTCCACACTTTGGCGTCACCTGGTCAGCCAAGTCTCCAATGTGCAACCTGGGTACAGCCCCACTGCCCTGACCGCATATGAGTACGCCATTAACGGTCAACGCCCAGTCACGTTCATGGGTGACGTGGCGTCTCAGTCATGCTCCACTTGCGGCGATGTTGCCTCGTTGCATGGGCAGATCAAACTGTGTCACAACTGTATGGAGGTTGGGTACTGCTCTGTCACTTGTCAGCGGATACACTGGTTTACTCACAAGAAATATTGTTCGATTTTAAAATGTAAGTTTTTTCCCCCCAGATTGGTCAACTTCTTACTCTTGGTACTCGCGTTCTTGATTAATTCACCTCTAACGTGTTTACCTTGTGTTAGAAAAGTTTTCGGCTTAAGCCTAATTGATATATTCTCTGAGCAGCAATGAGCGGAAGCTGTGGAACCAAGGAACCTTTTGCAAACCTGCCTGCCACTGAAAGACTGTTCGACATCATGTCCTTAACTCCAGAAGTCTCTGTTAATGCGTTTCTTCTAGACAACCATGGCTTTTGACATTATGCGCTGTGCGAGCTTAGAACCCCGTGGTCTGCAACGCTTCTGTTCTTCGCATATCCGGTCTATATTCCATTGGTTTTTGAGTGATACTTGACTCCCATCGCAATGAGGCTGGACCTTACCGTGGTGCAATGGTTTGCGTGCCTCAGAGATCCATTTAGCTATGCTGGGTGGTGCTTTTTTGCACCTTCAGAGCCACTCGTACCAGATTGGTCAATGGTTAGAGGCCAGATAAACTCAGCCTCCTGGTCCTCCAGGTTGGGGGTTGGAATGAGGGTGGCTCTTATTTCATAAATTGGGCTCTCTGTAGTCCAGTGCCAAAACCCACTGCCTTGCGGTAAGGTTTTTGAACCAAAGGCTTTGGTTGTGAACCCTAATCGTTCTCCTGTCTAAGCCTGGGTAACCTGACAGTATTGCCCACGCAATACAATGAGCCCTTCATCAAACAATCCCTTGATGCTCTGGCCGTCGCAGAGGATAATAAACGGCTCCCTATCTGCTGCATCGAGCAGGTGGATACGGGTGTAGATGCTACTGCTCAGGCCTTCCCGTCTTCGTATCCCCCTTCTTGCGCTTCTTCATCCTCATCGTCCCGCTCCAACTTTACATTTATCCCCCCATTTTCAATCCCCCAATTCTTGACCCTCCCCCAGCTTGCTTCAATAGTCGCTTGTCTTCTAGTTTCAAATCACGCACAGTCGCAAGGCGTCGCTCCAGTCCAGTCGACAAGTCCATGTTCAACCAAGCGGACAGCGTCAGTTTATCCGTTTCCCTCGCGTCTCGCTAAGACTGGCATGCCTCAACGTGCGCACTTTGCTACAGATTGGCCAACAGGCAGCACTTGCCCGCACACTAGAGACCCTATCGATCGATATTCGCTATTTCACAGAAACCCGCCTGCAAGATTCGAGCGCCGTGTTTACCCTGCGATCTCCCAAATGCGACACTGGCGGCACATTCTCATTGGGCCTGTCTGGCGATGATGCAGCTTCAAATGTCGGTCAAGCTGGCATCGACATTGTTTTGAGTCCCCGGGCTGAAGCTGCCCTGATCGATTGGATCCCAATAAACAGTAGGATGTGCGCCGTTAGATTAGCTGGTTCGTTCCGTGCTACGAAGTCGCGTGGGGACAAAGGGGGCCTGTTTGTCATTGCGGCCTACGCCTCTACAAACTGTAGCACTGATTCGGTAAAAGATGATTTCTATCAGCAACTTCACGATCGCCTTCCTTACAGAAGGAGCACGGATACTGTGGTGTTAGCTGGCGATCAAAACGCCCAAGTCGGCAAATTGTCCTCTGATGAGCTTCATCTGGGTAGCCAACACGGTGTAGGCTCCCGTAATGATAAGGGTGAGCGATTGCTACAGCTGTTTGAAGATGCTCGCCTCTATTTTGCGAGCACTAACTTTCGACACAGCACTCGCAGAAGCGTGACTTGGCGCCCACCAGCCTCGGGCGATCCATGGACGCAAATCGATCATATCGCGATTAATTACCGCTGGAGAGGCTGTGTGCAAAACTGTCGCTCGATTTGGAGCACGAGCGTGGACTCTGACCACGCACTTGTCTGCGCCGACCTCCGGGTGCGTTTCGGTGGACGTCCGCAACGTCGATGTGAACGGATTGACACCAGCCAGCTGGCGAAGCCAGGTGTTCTGAATGTGTATCAAAGTGCGCTGACATCTGGGCTGAGTAAGCGCCCACCGAACACCATCGAAGATCACTGGTCGCATATTCGTCAAGCGGGACTAATAGATGTCTATTCATCATCGCTGCCTATGCGCCCACAAACTGTAGCGATGATTCGGTAAAGAACGACTTCTACCGCCAACTGACCCAGCTCCTTCGCCACAGAAGAAGCACGGACACTGTTGTGCTGGCGGGAGATATGAACGCACAAGTTGGAAAGTTGTCCACTGATGAACTGCATCTGGGCGGTCAACACGGTGTAGGCTCCCGTAATGATAACAGTGAGCGGTTACTTCATTTGTGTGAAGATGCTCGCTTATTTCTTGCGAGCACTAATTTCCGACACAGCACCCGCCGAAGGGTGACTTGGCGCCCACCATCCTCGAACCAGCCTTGCACGCAGATCGATCACATTGCGATAAGTTACCGCTGGAGAGGCTGCATCCAGAATTGTCGCTCGATTTGGAGCACATGTGTGGACACCGATCATGCACGTGTATGTGCTGACATGCGGATGCGTTTTGGCGGACGCCCACGACGACGCTGTGAGCGTATTGACACCAGCCAACTGACAAAGCCAGCTGTTCTGAATGCGTATCGAAGTACGCTAACATGCGAGTTGAGCAAGCGCTCACAGGAGACAATTGATGGTCACTGGTCACATGTTCGCCAGACCTTACCAGCAGCAGGCAAATCCTCATGTGGTATGTCTAATAGCCAACATGGACATTGGGTCTCTTCGCAGTCTCTGGAACTTATCGATGCTCGCCGGCATATCCCGACTGGAAGCGAGCACAATGAAACTCGCAAAGAGCTCCGGGCACAACTCCGTGCTAGCCTGAAGAGAGACCGCGAATCTTGGTGGTCTCATCGTGCGTCAGAGATGGAAGTGGCCGCTGCCCTTGGCAACCATCGTAAGTTATTCCGTCTGATACGGGAAACGGGCAGCAGGAGACCTAGTGTTAGTGAAACTATACGTGACGAGAGTGGACAGCCTATCCACAATTTGTCAAAACGTCTGGAGCGTTGGGCTGAGCATTTTGAAAAGCAATTTAATCGGCAAGAATTGTTCGATTCGCCGGTCACTGATCACCCCGCTCCGTGGGCTGTCCCTTTGGATCCACCCTCTCGCTCAGAAGTCGAACGTGTGATCGGACTGTTGAAGTTGAACAAAGCCGCGGGACCAGATGATCTTCCTCCAGCCCTCTTCAAATTTGGAGGCTCTGCTCTTGTTGATGCTTTGCATGAATTACTAGTGAAACTGTGGGAGCAGGAAACTGTCCCAACCGACTGGAGCCGCTCCGTTATTGTTCCCATCTTCAAAGGCGGCTCGCGCTCGGAATGCGGCAACCATAGAGGAATCAGTCTGATCTCCATCGCCTCCAAATTACTCGCGTCCATAATTCTCCACAGACTGACTGGCACTCGTGAAAGCCAGATTCGTGAGGAGCAAGCCGGGTTTCGTCGGGGTCGTGGCTGCATCGACCACATCTTCACCTTGCGTCAGTTGTTGGAGCACCGTCACACATATTGGCGGCCCACCGTAGTCGTGTTCCTCGACATCAAAGGTGCCTTCGATTCGGTTGATCGATGTGCCCTTTGGAATTGTCTACTCAGGAAAGGTGTGCCCGAGAAATATGTAAATATTATCCAAGCATTATATGCGCGTAGCACGGGCAGAGTAAGGGCTTACAGCAGGCTGTCGCCACCCTTCAATATCTCCAGCGGTGTGAGACAAGGATGCCCGCTGTCACCTTTCCTATTCAACTTCGCTATTGACGAAGTCATGGAGATTGCATTTACAGGACATGACTTGGAAAGTGTGGAGCTACTCCCAGGAGAACGACTTCTTGACTTAGAGTATGCAGACGACATTGCCCTCATCTGTGACAGCTCCCAGACGTGTCAATCCGCGCTGGACAGATTAGCACTGGCTGTCAGTCGCTTCGGGCTTTGCTTTGCACCACCGAAGTGCAAAGCGTTCCTCCAGGATTGGCAGGGTTCGCCCCCTGTGCTGACCCTTGGTGGGGATCAGCTAGAAGTCGTTCAGAAATTCAATTACCTGGGAAGTTGTATCAGCGCCCTTGGGATCGAAGATGAGATCACGAACCGCATAGCGAAAGCTCGAAGTGCTTTTGCTAACCTTCGCCACCTATGGCGACGGCGCGACATTACTCTCGCCCTGAAGGGTAGAGTGTACAACGCAGCGGTACGTTCGACCTTACTGTACGGTTGCGAAACCTGGCCCCTAAGATCGGCGGACATGAAGAGGCTACTTACGTTCGACCATCGGTGCCTTCGCAGTTTGGCTCACATCTGGTGGGAACACCGCGTGAGTAACGAGCGTGTTCGACGCCTTGTTTACGGCACAGAAAAAGGATCTGAACCGCTCAGCACCGTCATTTCACTCACCAGGCTCCGATGGCTGGGCCACGTGTTGCGCATGCCAGCCCACCGACTCCCTCGACGTGCGTTGTTTGCTCACCGGGGATGTGGGTGGAAGAAGAGGAGAGGTGGCCAAGCGATGACTTGGTCCAGAGGAATGAAGGCCCTCACTTCGGAGCTGGCCTAGGTTGGAGCTTCACGGCTCCCTGGTTGGGGTCCAAAAGACGGTGAACACGTTTGGCTGGATACACTTGCTGATATGGCAAGGAGCCGACCTCAGTGACGTTCCTGCTGTGAGTTTCTTTGTCCCTCCCCATCCCTTTAGCCTCCCCCTCTATCTACGATCTTATTTCGTAGGGTAAAACGTAATTAAATTTTTGTTTTTTGCCTAGTAGCCGGCTAGTAGCTTACCGGAACGATGCCTATCCGTTGCTGGTAGCTCAGCTGGCATTCAACTGTCGTATTTATTTTTCCTTTATGTATTGTATGTATGTATGTATTTCCTTTATGTATTGCGGTGCAATAGCGGGGGTGTTTTACCATCTCTAGCTGACATGTATAATGATGATGATGATGATATTCGTCAAGCGTTGCTGTTAGCAGGCATGTCTTCATGTGGCAACGCAAATTGCCAAACCGGACATTGGGTCTCTACAC